GGACAATGGAAATCATCATTAACAGATCACTGAGAGATATGTCACTATCAGGTATAACATATAATAATTTAACATTTTATATCCTCTTAAATAGATCCTGTTAATATCAACAGATCACCTCCTACAGCTCCTTTTCCTCCTACTCAAAACAGTTAGTATAATAGTACATACCACACTATCACTGAATTATCAACAGGTACATTTAGAGGTGATATTGCTCACAAAGCAATGACTGAGTGTACTGGAATGATAAAGGACTATGGGATTGATAACATTCACTTCTTAGTTGATAAGTTACTGGAGCATAAAATTATAAGTGAAAGAAAGAAAAAAGAAATAACTGATGGATACACCAGACAAACTGCTGGTGAAAGAATGGATGAACTACTACACATCATTTCAAGTTCCATTAAAATGGATGGAGAAGTATTTGGTATATTCATAGATATACTGAGAGAGGAAGGGACTAGAGTAACTAATGCACTAGCTGGTAAACTAATGGAAAAATACAAGGAATGAACTAGCCTTTATATTAATGATTACAAATTCATTAATGTTTTTATTACTCTATTGTGTTGCTATCATTTTATTTATTATTGAAAGAGAATTTGCAGCTCTTTGACCACTTAACCGATTTGAAATATCGATTCTGACTCTAATGGAACTCTATTATATAATTTTTGTTACAGAAAATACCTACCTGATACGAAGGCTCTGCAATGGATGGCATCGGATTTTGCACTCCGTATATTCTCCGTATAATGACAGCTTGTGCCACGCCCTATAGCTTACATTGCGCGCATAGAGTGCAATGGCTACCAGAAACACCTTTCCTTCTTCTTTCTTCTCTTCTCCTTTGACTATTGGTAATGTTCATTAACTATCTATGTATCATTGAATGTGATTTTAGAGCAACTTATCTATGTCCTTGATCTGTTAAAGAGATGTGGTTTCCCTCAGACAAGATGGCATGAGCTGGGACTGAGACTAGGACTACACAAGAATACACTAGAAGCCATTGGAAAGAATCATCCTGGAGATGTATCTCGATGCTTGACAGAGACTCTCTCCAAGTGGTTGTCCAGAGCTGATAATGTTGACAGTAAAGGAGGAGCTACCTTTGACTCACTGTCAGATGCTCTTAAATCTATGAATGAGAATGCTGCAGCTGACAAGTTAGATCAAGAGAGTAAGTTAATATCACTGATTGTATTAGTATTGACTGTGTGTGTGTGTGTATTGAATGTAACACTCGTTATGCTGATCAGTGAGTGATTTAAACTTTAAAGAGGAATTTCCACGAAATCTGTTAATAATTAATAATGTTAATAGTAGAAATGAAAAGTGGTCATATTGATCGAGAGCAGCTGTATGTAGGTAAAGTCAAAATGTTGCACTTTTAAGTAGAAGAATTGATAGTTTCGTTATATATTAAAGTATTATGTGTGCATGAAATTGTGTATCAGAATTATTTCAATTCAATATAGGTTCTACAACAACCAACAGATCTACTCTTCCACCAGCTATTTCTTCAAATAGTTAGTAGTAATTGTGTGACTTTCTATTATATTCCATCTTAGTTACTACTAGCTCAAGCTCCTCTACTGCCAGCATCAGTCAAACCAGGAGAGAGACTGAAGAAGGTATTATACTAACACACAATAATTAATACATGTACAATGTACATGTGTACAGTAGGTATCACATACAGTTCCGACAAAGCTCACAAAGTGATAACAAGAAGCACTTCCCTAATAAAGGATTGTGGGATCGATCTTCGCAAATTAGTTGATAAGTTACTGGAGCATAAAATTATAAGTGAAAGAAAGAAAAAAGAAATAACTGATGGATACACCAGACAAACTGCTGGTGAAAGAATGGATGAACTGCTACGCATCATTTCAAGCTCCATTAAAATGGATGGAGAAATATTTGGTATATTCATAGATATATTGAGAGAGGAAGGGACTAGAAGAATGAC